AGTAAAGTATGCTAAAACTCAGTATATACCCGTACGTGTGAGAGTGCGTGCGTGTGTGGTGATGTGTGTATTTCTACTCTAAATGTGCGTGTTCTTAAATGTTACTGCCAATTAGTTCTTCTCGGATTGCATGTATATTTCTTCTGTTTTGGTTCCAGTCTACTTTTCTCAAGGTGAAGATTACTCCAAGAACCTATCAAAGAGGATTGGTAGCTGTCAATACAGCTTCGAATACGGTGAGTCAATAAAGTCACTCTTTCTCTCTCTCCCCTTTAATCTTTTATTATAAAATTGAATTGACAAGATATACATCAAAATTAAGTTATTTGGTAGGTGTACATTTTGCTTGAAGAAGAGCATCTCGAGAATGTCATATTTCACATGTCGAACACTTAAAGACGCGCTATGTAACTTACTCGTATCTCTTACAACGTGCCACATCTTATCATCTGATTATGAGGAAAAATCAACGATTACAATTTGATTTCATATATTATTTGCCAAATCATTACATGCCATTTTAAAAATTGTAATCGTTATTTATTTTTTCTTCTTTCTGTTCTTATCTTATTTTCAAAATGATATTTTATTTTCGCACACTCGTTTCACAGCAATTGTGCACTGCTAAACATGTCCAAGTGCATGCATGCAATAACGCCACGGCCTCTCATTGACAAGAAAGATAATAATAATAATAATAGCAAAGTATCCCGAGAGAAGCAGGGCACCGAGATAATTCATGATCACTATCCCAAAACACGGCGTTTATCCGTCAGAACCCCAGAACCTGATGATGGCAGGAGATAAACACACGGTTTGAGTTCCTCGGTGTATGTAAATCTGTAGCCGCTCTGTCGCTAACAGGGGTAACACATTGCTAAACAGTTTGCGCATCATCAAAGTGGACCAGTTTTTGCACTCCAGCATTCAAAACACACTTTGATTAACAATTTGGTGATTCATTGATAAAATTAGCTTATGAAGTGTTTATTATTATTATTATTTTAGGAATTAAGTGACTTGTTCATTATAGGATAAAGCACATAAATACCATGGAACACATTTTATTGCATGTTTACCGAAATGTCCACATTGTTTTTGTTTAGAAGACATTATGTTTGGACAGTAACGTGCTACATCAATCTGTTCCGTTATTTCTAGAGGTTTTGGTCTAGTTCAACCCTGCCATTATAGTCAAGTAATGTGGCGAAGGAATGGCATATGGTCAAAACGTTTTAGAGAAAACCATAAATGAATTATTTTTATAGCGAGAGATGAGGGTCAAATGCGGCACTGACCGTTAAGTGGTTTACTGTTTATCGACCTTATGAAGATTGATAACTAGAATCTGGAACACCGTGAACTGAAACTAGAGTGTTAAATATATTTTCNCCCCCCCCCCCCCCCCCCCGGAAAACGTCCTGCAGAGAAAAAATAGGGAATAGAAAACCTTAGAGACACAGAGAGAGAGAAAGAGAGATAGAGCGAGAGAGAGAGAACGGTGAGTGTTAAAAGTGGCTGCTCGAGGTCAGAGGGCTTCATGAGGCCATATCTAACCTCGGCGCGTGGGTGCTCGCCCTTGGAACATTTGTTATAACCAGTCAGGTTAACCTGGCCGCCAACGGTAGCGCCAATATTTTACCGTAATACATCTCCTTTAACGCTATAGCTTTGTGAGATACGATCTCTAAGTATCGTTTATTTAGATATATTTTTAGGCGTGTTCAATTATTCAAAATAAAATGTGGACGCCGTGTTGACCCTTAAGCCCATTTTCTGGTATGAATCAGTTTTTTGAAAACATGGTAGGAGTATTTTAACCAGTTTGTTACATTCAAATGTGTCGAATGTCTGGTTATGGTGCGAAATGGCTATAAAAATAAGATATATAACAAATAGAAGGGGACCGAACTAAAAGATTTGACCTCTTTTCCATTTTTGTTCTGGTAAGGATTAACCAATGCAGTGTTTTTTCATTGGTTTTCTAATTATCACTTGTGGTAAATTGCCTACAAATAGCCGTTGAATGTTGCAGCAATATTTAGGTGAACAGCTGTAATAAGAACTATAGACTTATTTTACAAAGAAAACGAAGTGTGTGGGGGTGTTTGCTCTGATGTAAATGTATCTAAATCTGTGGCGGACCACTTAGTCTCCTCATCAGTGAATAATATAAATAATCAAAAATAATAATGATAATGATTAATCATATTTTATATAATTGTTTTCCTATATTCGCTGCACCTCCTATAGATAAATATTGAAGAGAATGGATAATAAGACTAAATTAAGATTACCAAATTTATTAGTCTTACTACAGAATGTTCATTAGTTCAGTACTTGTGCCATGTCCTCCTAGAAGATAAGCGACGGGGGAGGGGGCATGGGAGCTCATTTTTTCAGCCAGCGTAATCATATATATATATATATATATATATATATATATATATATATATATATATATATATATATATATATATATATATATATATATATATAAGCACAGGAAACAGGAAAGATTAGGGGAATCAACACTAGCTAGCTCCCTCACTTAAATCTTGTTTTCTACGCACCTGTAATATGATGATGACCTGGTTATAAAACGGTAAGTATCGGGGAAACGTATCTATGTCTGTGATATTTCATGACTGTCTTTACACGAAGAAGAAATTCGAAAATCTAACGCACATTGATACTTTTGATTCAACTGCAACATTTTGTCGTACATGCAGCACAGCAACCACAATTCACGGCTTAGTTTCACTTAGTTTGTTGATTCACCCCCTCACGCGTACACACACACATTTTTCTCGCGAGCAATTTAGCATTGGATGACAAAGAAAACTGGTGTGTTTCCCAAGTAAAGTTAGATACTCCCTGTCTTATGACAGTAATTTTTGATAAATCGTTTTAATATACACAATGCGTTGTCCTCGTTATCAATGTGACCCAGACAAGACAGCAAGTAAATACTCGTAATTTAATATAATCCGCCCCTGATTTATGGCTTCGTTCCACCTTTTCGATAACAATGTCAGTGCTCCATCTGCCAACAACGTTAAGCATTGTTAGCAGCTTTAAAATAATATTACTGGTACGTTGAATAGACCAATTTTGAACATAAAAATGGGGGAAAGTTAACTAGCCGCAAATCGAAATAATGTGAGAGGGCCCCTTGTTCACTACTTTTGTGAAAATCACATTTATAATTATTGGTATTATTAATATTTTATTTATCTTAATTTTTTGTTTTGTTTTATTCAATCTTATTTTATATATTATTGAAGTTAAAGAAGTAAAATTGACCCATTTTCAGACTTAAAATGTGGGAACTGCAGTTAATTTTAGTAGTATTTAGCTTCTTAAAAATAGATCTCTTTATTTTTTTCCTTGAAGCAGTTTAAGTGTGATGTTTACTCCCACGTGCAGAATTAAGAGTGTGTTAATAGATGACGAAAGAGGATGTTTGGAACAACTCAATTGTCACATCTGTAGAACCATTAATGATGCTCGCCTTTGATAATAACAGGAAACGATATGTTCTTCATGTCATATCGGAAATACAACATCTGTGAAAAGCGACAGAATGGGATGAAAGCAGTTATGACAAACAACACTTCAGCATCTGGTACAATTTTTGTACAGCACTTATACCGTTTTTTTCTCGCACTAGTTTTAAACGAAGAGGACATAAAACGTTTCAAGTTATATTGACTGTAACTTGTATATGTGCTAACATCGAGGTGGATGCCCTCGAAATTACCGCACCCTCTTTGGAATATTTATTTGTTAACTCTTTTTGTAAATTATAACAGGAATGAAGCAGAGGGTGGGTGATTCAGTTAGAGCCTTTTATCACTACAGTGGCGGGCGTACATGTAGCTAACTATGCAATTTTATATTATTTTTTTTTACGCGAAAAGGTTTATCTGTCAGTTCCGGCTTGAAAGAAGCAAGCCAGGGCAATATTTAGATTGTACAAAAAAAGGGCGAATATCGCCACTGTGAGTCTTTCAAAAAGAGGTTGAAAGAAACGCATGCCTTATTGGATCGCTTAATTCCTTCGTTCTAAGAATTTACTGATAAAAAACAAAATGTTGACACAACAAATATTGCCTTATTTACACAAGAACATGGGAGCGTGTTTTAGGGCTATTGCTTGTTGTAAGTACAGCCCCATAAAAAACTGAACGGACACATCTTTTTTATCTTTAGCAGCTTTTGATGATTAAGGCATTAATAAGTAAGGAAAACAAACGCTTTCTCACCAGTGGGTGGAACCACATTAGCGCCACTAAGTATTAAGTAGAATATAGTTTAAAGGTTGATTGGAGAGTATCATCTTCTTGGTACACGGTTAAGTGCAGTTTAGGTTCTTAAGTCATAGGTGATAACAATCTTACGCAAGCTAATGGGTCCGTTAAGCTTTTTACCGCTGGTAATTTGCACCCCAAGGCTCAAACATGACAGGAAAATTGGATTATCACGGCACGTGTTAACATTGACGATTAGTTTCCAGAAATCACTAAAATTCAGGGTAGTAGAATATTAAAGAAACTGACATGGATTCATGCAGGTGTTTTCACGTACCGCATATCAAAATGCCGTGAATATTTATTGGCTAGATTTTTAAACCAATACGAATGTGTACGTTGCTGTGATACGTTTGAATGCCAGCAAAGGCATCTTTCTCCATTGAGCAATAGTGGTTTTAATGAAGCTGTGGTCTACGGAGCGATATTTGTACAATTCCCGGATGTAGTAGCACTAGAAGCCAGCGTGTGCTGATATTGTAGGAAGCCAGCTGTTCATCATCTGGGAAGACTAAGAGAAGGGTGCGTGGCCGAGTAAAGTATGCTAGAACTCAGTATATGCCCGTACGTGTGAGAGTGCGTGCGTGTGTGGTGATGTATTTGTACTCAAAATGCGCGTGTTCTGAAATGTTATTGCCAATTAGTTCTTCTCGGATTGCATGTGTATTTCTTCTGCTTTGGTTCCAGGATACTTTTCTTAAGTTGAAGATTCCTTCAAGAACCTAGCAGAGCGGAGTGTTAGCTGTCAATACAGCTTCGAATACGGTGAGTTAATGAAGTCTCTCCCTCTCTCTCTTGGTTGATGTCAATTTTGCTTGAAGAAGAGCATCTTGGGAATGTCAAAAATATTTCACATGTCGAACACTCAAAGACGCGCTATGATTTCTGGAACTTATTCGTATCTCTTACTGTACGGCGGGCCACATCTTAGGGTGCTTTCCCAGAGATTTAGATCGATCTAAAGATTAAGTTTTAGATCGACCTAACTCCCTGGGGGTTCACGCTAAATTGCAGTCAGCCGAGCGGGCACCATAGTTAATTACCCCCTTACAGCTTTTAGTAGGCGGGACAGACGCTTAAGTCGACCAAGCTGACAGTAATCTAGTGAGACTCCCCACAGGGATAGATCGATCTAAAAATCTATGGAAATGGGGTGTAAGACCCCATTTCCAGAGATTAGATCGATCTACTTTAGATCGACCTAACTCCCTGGGGGTTCACGCTAAATAGCTGTCAGCCGGGCGGACACGAAAGTTAATTACCCCCTTACAGCTTGTAGTAGGCGGGACGGACATTTAAGCCGGATTATCTGACAGTAATCTAGTGAGACTCCCCGCGGGGATAGATTGATCTAAAAGCTCTGGGAATACAGCCTAAGCATCTGATTAAGAAGAGAAATATACGATTGCAATTTGATTTTATATTTTATTTGCCGAGTCATTAAATGCTATTTTAAAAATTGTTATCGTTATTTATCGTTCAGTATTGTATTCTTATCTTTTTTTTTTAATATTTAATTTTATTTTCGCACACTTGTTTCATAGCAATTGTGTACTGTTAAGCATGTCCAAATGCATGCATGCAATAACGCCACGGTATCTCATTAACAAGAAAGATAATGATAATAATAATAATAGAAAAGGATTCAGGGCAAAGCAGGACACCGAGATAATTAGCTATCCCAAAACATGGCGTTTATCCGTCGTACGGGATGCCAGAACCCCAGAACCTGATGATGGCAGGGGATAAACACACGATATGCGTTCCTTGGTGTGTGTAAAACTGTAGCCGCTCTGCCGCTAACAGGGGTAACACATTGCTAAACAACCCATCATCAAAGTGGATCAGTTTTTGCACTAAAGCATTCAAAACACACTTTGATTAATAATTTATTGATTCATTAATAAAATTAGCTTATGAAGAGTTTTTTATTATTATTACTTTAGGCATTAAGTGACTTTATTATTATAGGATGAAGCACATAAATAGCATGGAACACATTTTATAGCATGTTTACCAAAATGTCCAGATTGTTTTTGTTTAGAAGACATTATGTTTGGACAGTAACGTGCTACATCAATCTGTTCCGTTATTTCTAGAGGTTTTGGTCTACTTCAACCCTGCCATTATAGCCAAGTAATGCGGCGAAGGGAGGGCATATGGTCAAAACGTTTTAGCGAAAACCATAAATGAATTATTTTTATAGCGAGAGATGAGGGTCAAATGCGGCACTGACCGTTAAGTGGTTTACTGTTTGTCGACCTTATGAAGATTGATAACTAGAATCTGGAACACCGTGAACTGAAACTAGAGTGTTAAATATATTTTCTATCGGAGTTTCTCTCTAATTCTAATTTTCCTCTAGTAAAAACATTTTCCTACATGTTCTAAAGATTCATTGCTCGTCTCGTCCCAGCACTTGGTCTCACATTTTCTTATTAAATAACTTTCTAAACGAATCACGACTGGTTTAGATTTGATGCACCGTTCACACTACCATCTGACAGATTGAACTCAGAAAGAAATATCGACATTAGGAACGCAGAGAAAATTTCATTTGAAGTTTTTAAAATAATTTTTTATGTCTGAATTGGGAAAGATAAGACGCTCATCAGGATTTTCATACTCGTAGGACATTAAAACGCTTGTAGAATAACTTTCATTTTTTTAATAAACAACAAAACGAGAAGGAAACGGAGACACCTAGCGCTGGCATTCTGCCATTCTCACAGTATCACCTGGAAATGTTATTAGCTTGAATTCTATCGTTGGTCAAAGCTTTCAATATGCTCGGAATTTATTTTCCAAATACATCCAAAAGAGTGTACACATTTCGTAATTTGTCCTCCGACTTTGACTGAATTGGTATAGGCAACTAATCATGTGCTTTGGGTAATCATATTTAAAACCCGTTCTAAATAGTCTATTATTTTCAAAAATTTCCCATTGATTTCTAGGGCTATTGACTGAAGTGTATTAAGTATACGCCCTCGGTGATATTTCATTGGTTGTAAAGTTGTTCGAAACCTGAGCGGAGAGACAGCTAAATGGAAATCCTAGGGATTGAAGTCCAGGTCTCATATTATAAGTACAGGTTAGGGTTAGTGGGTGTATTGGTGTTAGTACATGGGACGAGTGTCACCTGAGCAAAACTAGGGAACTGACTACGGTTCCTAGTGGACTACCATTCCTGTTACACCGACATAACCAATGAGATTCATCCGAAATATCTCAAAGCTTCAAGACTGATGTAACAGCAACTGTAATTTTGCTGAATTTGAAAAAAAAAAGAAATAATCGCCGACTAGAGAGTGCAGTGCAGTGCGGCAAAGATAAAAAGAATGGCAAAATTCATCCACGGCTATCTTTCTGGTTGATTTGGCTAAAGTTCTGTGCAATTGCAGTCTATTGCACAACAGTGCGAATTCACCGTGTCGCTTTCATATTTCAGACTCATAGAGTTTCATCCTTTTTGTTAAAATGTTAACCCCACCTCACCGCGTGACGTCACACTCGCGCGTTTTTGTAGTCTCGTTAACGTCACGCAGTGAAGCAGCCAAGTTTTAGGTTTTCCCGGATTATCCCAGAAAGAAAAAACAGGTGTATGCGCGCTACGGGTGAAATACAGAACAATCTCGAGGCGTTCCTCTTCCTCATTAAAGGTCTCATAACTAGGACATCACCTCCTAAATTAACTGAAATAACCAGCGATTTATTTTATCCACCTTGGCTACGAGGTATATATCCCCTTGGTGAATGCTGTCCATTTTCTATCGGAGAGCCACTTAATGGGACCAGGGAGAGAAGATAAGTTTGATGTTCGAAATTGCTTCAATATTCGTAGGGAGATTGCGTTCTGTCGTACGCAGTCAATACACCGCCGGCGTCTGTCGATAATATTTCCTGTTTATTTTTGACCACAAATTTTAATCATTGGAAAACAAATAAACAGCCTCTGTGGAGAAGAAATAGCTTTTAAGTTTAGAGATTTTCCGGCGACGTGTGTAAATCATGGGTAATTTTTAACAGAAACAATATCAATAACAATATATATAATTCAAGGGAATTGATTTTATTAGGCGTGATACATGTCAGTATTTGCAGTTACTTACCCTATGTATATAGGCAATATTTCTTTAAACTCTCTGGCTTTCGCTGCATTCGAGCCTATGTACAAGGTATGATTTCAAGCAAAATATATAAATTAATTTCATTTACCGACGCTGAGGAAAAACAAGACTCTGCTGTGCAATTTTAATTAGATTAATAGGGATAGAAATAGGAGGTGATATTGCCAGCTAAACAAGGAAGTTAAATTGTGTAAAACCCTCGACCCTGATAGTACACAGGTGAGAAGCCCGAAGATTACAAAGAACAGGAAGAATTTTCATTTTACCGCCTCAGGCCTTAATCTTTTTTCGCCTCGGCCTCTGATATTTTTGACAAAATGTCGAAGGGAGGGGAATGTCCCGTTCATCATTCTTGCAGTTACTTCCCTATTATGCAAACGAGCATCGCCAGCTGGCGCCAATGATATCTGTTTCTTTATGTGCCTGTAAACAAACCCCATATCTGCCATATATTTACAGGTGCCAGAACAAGAGACGTTGTCACTATCCAGACTGGTAATAAGCAGGCCCTGCCTTTCAGAGAGTACTGGAAACCCTCCTCTTTTATCAACATACCTTTGTCGTTTCAAGGTTATTTGCGTTATTGGCAATGGTAAAAACTTTCTGATAAGAAGGATTCTCCAGTAAGCCTTGAAACCTATGGGGTCTGTACTTAAATCTAAATCAAAACATCCTTTTTTTAAAATAAATGTCTCACCATAGATATGACAGACACTTTTTTCCGCCTATGAACACCTATAGATCAGTTTGCTCATTGCGTCTGATACCAATGTAGGGTAAAAGTAGCCAGGGCCGTCGCGTTACTTGGAAGTCATCAGTTTTTTCTCTAAATGCACTGTGCAGATAACAGGAGTTGAATGATAAATGTCTGTCAAAATGGGAGTTCAGTTTGAGCACTAGACTGAAAGACCATTTCATTTAGAGTTAGGATATCAAGGCGTTTCGACGTAATCAAAAAAACTGTACAGCTTCCAATTTTTGTTGCTCCCATCAACAGCCTACTGAAGTCTTGGGAATTCAAGAAAAATGAAAATAACTCAGCTGAAGTCACTGTCTGCGAAACGTTCCAACAACATGACGCACGCAGCATTGTGCAATCACATAGACCAAGCTTCTGTAACCTTTTGTTTTACGGACCCGCCCACATTTATACACACAATAAACAATGTTATTACATTGCCTCCGATTATCCAACTTTTTTTTGACAATTTGTTAGGGTAATTTTTTTTTGTTGGTTAAGGAAAAGAAACCAATAACTGTCTCTTTCGATATTTTAAACCAGATCAGGTAGTAAATGTTTTTGTTTTGCAAACATTAGACAAAATTCAATATATCCAGCAATAAAGAAGTTAATTTTCTTCATTAGTACCAGTGATAGTTACTATGTAAACATGCTTAATGACAGATTTTGTGCATATTGAGTATTTGAAGTGATACACCCTTCTTGAAAAAGAAGTAGAAACTTAACATTCAGCCGGTAAGAAGCTTATAATCAGACATTAGCAGAATGACCCAGGGAAGCAATTTGGTATTCGTGAGAAGGAACAGACACTGTTAATTTCTCTTTTAATGAGGATACGGTTACAGCAAACACAGGCACTTTATGAATTCAAAAGACAGTGATATATTAGGGTT